TGTTTCCGCGAGTCCGTCCTTTCCTTTCGTTGCTTCTTCTTGGACGTCCCCCTTTTCGCTTTCCAAGGGAATCCTTCGATTCGAGCGAATATTCCAAATATTAACTCGAGCTCGATCGACGCCATTCGATCCATTGAATCTCGCGAGAAAGAGAGAGAGAGAGAGAGAGAGAGAGAGAGAGAGAGAGCGTCGGCGGGCGTTTCTTTTTAATTTATCCTTAATTCGAGCCGCGCAATCATTGCCACGAGTTTCACGTGTTAAACGAGTCTCCAACCAGAATGTTGGAACGTTGGCGCAGATTTATTGGCCACGATAGGGGGGGATCATTGCGCAGAACAGTGGAATTTTCTAGGGAGAGAGACACGCACGAATGATGCTCGTCTGGGAACCATATATACGCGCGATTCATTCCCGATAACACGCTCGGCAACCTCGGGCAAAAGCGTGGCGATGCATATTCGACACGCTTCTCCTTTTCTCTCTCTCTCTCTCTCTCTCTCTCTCTCTCTCTCTCTCTCTCTCACTTCGAGTTTTTAATCCTTATCGAATACTCCCCGTCTCGTAACCTCTCTCCACCTACTCGATTTCTCGCTCGGGAATCGGTCAACGTCACGCTCGCCGATTCGGTTAATTGCCGATCGCAATAAATTAGAAACGAACGCGAATTCTCTCGTTTCGATCGATCGGTACGCGCGATTCGACTCGACTTCGAAACGCTTCGGGTCGTGTTGCTTTTGTTTGGTAACGTCTTCGCCATCGCCTTCTTTCTTTGAAGAAAAAGAAAATGAAAAAAATAAAAGGATCTCTCTATTCGAGAAAATTCTCCCTTCCCCTCCTCTTTAATGGATCCGCGAGGAGAAAACTTTGGTCAGCGTTTCTATCTTTACACCATTATGATCGCCCATTCCGCTCAACGTTATGGCACTTCCTTTCGAACGCCTAATTATCACGTTCGTTAGCATTAATTCTTCGTTAATCTCGAATTTCATCGTAAAGTTTGCGTTTAAGGTGATCCCCAGCTACTAGCTAACACACTCCTTACTTACAATTTTATTAACGTTTCCTCGATACGTAAAATACACCATTTATTTCGTTACACGCTCGTTTGCTCGTTTAAATCGTAGAAATCGAAAACTCCATAGCCTCTCTCCTTCCTCTTTCCAGATTCTCTCTCTCTCTCTCTCTCTCTTTGTCCGAAAGACAGATCTTTTGGATCCCTTTCGAATCGTGATTACTTGTTCGTTCCCCCCTTGGAATGGGAATATCGCGTTTATCATCGATGAATCGCGAATGAATATTTCGAGGAGTGAAAGAAAATGAGGGTGAAAGAAAAAGGAGACGCGCGTAGACGAGTGATTAACGAGCGAACAAGCTTCGGGTTCACAACGAAGCGGGCGCTTGTAACGTTAGACCGATCGAAAAGGTCAGAAGGCGAGAGATCGGGTGTCGATAATGGATGATATCGACGAAGGGAAGCCGATTGTTGATTCGGGAGAAACGACTCGGGCAAGTTGAAAGGGACAAGAAGAGAGGAGAAGAAGGAGAAAGATTCACTACGCTTCTGCGAAAATTGCTAGTTTATTGCACACGACGCGAGACCATCTTGGAAATTACGTCCCAGATGCGTAAATCCGGTAGGTGGAAATCCTTGAAGCCGAACTACTGACGAACTCGTCTCGTCGTTGCGTTTCACCTCCTCGTTGCAAATGTGGAAAGAAAAAAGGTGGAACGAAAATGCGCTCGAAATGGAATTTCGAGGATGGGTTCGAGGAAAAAATCGATGGATTCTAGAGGGAGGGGCGAGATATGGACGAGTATGTCGTACCTCGCAACATAGGAGGTACGAAACGGAGGCGGGGCAATCAATTTTTACGACATATTCGTTCGTTCGAAGCTTATGCTCGTATAAGAGAGACGAAGCGGAGAGTCGAACAGGGAGGAATTCGCCCGTGGGTGCTCCCGTCTGTCCTTCGTCTCCACACGCACAGCCGGCGAGTGCCCACGCAGTGACGGTGACACGCGTGCACCAACGCGAGTGGTTCGACCGGTATCCGCCATATTTGGCTGGTACAGCCGCGTGAACTACGGAGACGTAGAAATCCACGCCACAAGGGAAGAGGTCACCGAAGAGGCCGTGTCCGCGCCACCAAGGCGCGTAAATAAAAGGAGAGAGAGAAAGAAAAAAAAAAAGGCTTTCGACCAAAACGTCTCGTCGAGATATCGCGTGAATTATAACTGAGCGAGGGTCGTAAATAAATCATGGGAAGAGTAAGGTAGTTTGACGCGTGGTAAAAAATCATCTTCGCCCAACAAGATTGCCGTTTTTGTTGCCACCTATCGATAATCATCTTCTATATTTATAGATTTTCTGTATTTATATATATATATATATATTTATAGATATTTTTAGATATATTTAAAGGCAGAGGCGCGAAACAACCGAATCGAAATTGCCTTCTCGCTCGACGGAATTTCCACATGATCTTTCTTTTCCCCTTCCTTCGTTTTAACGAGCGTCTTTCAGGAGGCTGGAGTTGTCTCGTTAAAGAATGGCAAAGTGGACGGCGAAAAATGGACGGCACGAGTCACGCATGCGCGTAGAATCGAGGGAAAAGAAGATCGAACGATTGTTCTCGATCGATGCTGGATCGAAGGAGGGAACAAATTATCATAGATCTAATTTCGATTGGATCCTATAATAAAGAGTAGTACACAGTTGGAAGAATCAGAATTTCTGGAATCCACGACATAACCCTCCCGAAATTCGAAACCCATTTTTCGAACGCGCGATCACTTTGCGTTCCTCTTCCACTCCCCCTCCATTCCCCATATCCCCTCCCCCCAGAGGTGGAGGGAAGAAAAATGGATGGAAAATGGATTGGATAGGTAGATCGGTCTGCTGAAAACCGGAGTACCGGAGTACCCTTTTTACCCTTTTCTCTCGGCACTGTTGCGGCCGATGTCCAACGTCCGTGCAGATTGGCAACCGGTTTTCCTATGGCCTCTCCCAACCGATTCCTCACTCCCACTCTCGCACTCCCACCAACCGATTCCCATTCCAACAGAATTCCTCCCTCCTGCCCCCCTCCCCCCTCGCATTCTCCGCGCCCTCCTTCCTCCTTCAGGAGGGCCGCCGCGTTATTCCATCTTCTCCCTTTCTTTCCACTTCTTCTTTCTCTCCGCGTCTTTCTTTTCTTCCCCCTTCCCTCCTTTCGTCGCTCTTTCACCCGGTGATCTTATCTTTCGGAGGAAAAGCAAACGCCGGATGTTACGCGACCGACATCGCCAATTCCCCCCCCCCC